TTTGACCATATCTCATGACTCGTAACTCCGATTGACGAGATTCAAAATGATCTGAAAACTAGACACAATTTCGGATGATTTTCATGTTTTGAGAAAGACGGATTTTCAACCACCACGACGTGGTGAATGGAATCTTAGCGATTCTTGACGCCGACTTGGAGAATACAGGATAAACTTGAGGACCACGACGTGGTACCTTTACCACGTCGTGGTGTCGAGATTTTTGGTAACTATATATATCTCGGCCATTAGGTCGATTCCAGGGGAGATAGGGTTGAAGGTTGCGACTATTAACGAAAAAATACCCTTCCATGACCCCTTTGAGGGCAGAATTCAACTAGAGATCAAAGGATAAAGAGATTGGAGCAAGGATTCGCATCTACACATTCGGTTTCCTTAGTTTAATCATGATTAGTCTAGTTTACCTTATGTTTATGTGTTTTCCAGCTGTGATTATGGGCTAAAAACCCTTGCTTTCGTTTAGTTAGATGAAACCTAAAACTATGAGTTAGTTTCTTACTTTATGGATTATATGAATTTGGTTTATGCATGTGTTTGATTATCATTACCTAGCATGTTAAAGTTTGTAACTTTGTTGCTTAATTTCAAGTGTAGTGTAGCTTAGTGACCATTAAATTACATGAACTTGATTACCTAGTGATTTAGTGACCATTAAATTGCTAGAGCTAGGATCGACCAAATCTTAGATAAGTAATAAAAGTAACAAATTTAGATGTGTTGGAGAACATAATTGTGACCATAATGGTGTTTGTTTAGATAAATCTTACATAGCCCATCTATAATGAATAACTAATTTTATGTTTTGTGTGTGTATGACCATACAAGGTAGTTCATGAATTGGTGAAAATATTAGTAAATTTGGACTTGAATTGCTAATTACAATAACTTGGTAACCAACTTCATTAGTCCATAAATAAGAACTAACCATAGGAAAAAGGTGGATTCGAAACTAAATGAAAGTGTTTTAGTATATTGATTACAATCGTTTGTATTTGACTACTTAAGTTTTTCTGAACTTGTAAAATCAGATAAAACCCCCACTTTTAGTTGTTTTTCTTAGTTTAGATTTTAGTAATTATTTTATTAATTAAATATCGTTCCCTGTGATCGACACCCGACATACCCAAGCTATACTATAATCTGACTAGGTACACTGCCTATAGGTGCATAGTTAGTATAACTTTGTTAGGTTATAAATTTAAAAGTTGATAGGTATATTTTGTGCACATCAAGGGATATCCGTGAGCTCGTGGCGAACGCTTCGTATTGGACAATGGCTGAGTTGCAGACAAATGCCAAGAGGAGAGAGATTGAGCTGGAGACCCAGGATAGAGAGGAGAGGGAGACCCAGGTGAGAGATAGGAGACCAGTGCAGTCGCAACCGCCGAGTAAGCGGTCTAAACCCGCTGACTCGAGAGCTAGAGGCCAGAAGGGCCGCACTTGCGGTAAGTGCGAAAGGGGGAATGAGGGACCCTGTTGGACAGGGATGACTTGCTACCTGTGTGGCAAGGAGGAGCATTTGGCTAGGGATTGCCCCAAGGGATTTCGGGTTTGCTTAAATTGCAACCAGACGAGAGATATGAGGGCCGAGTGTCCTCAACTTGCATCTAGGGCGATTCAGACTCTGCCCCCATGACCCTGCGTATTACTGATGGCCGGTAGGGGAATGCCGAGACACCGAGGGCTCGAGGGAGAGCATTTCAGTTGACAACAGAGGAGGCCCGTGCAGCTCCCGACGTTGTGGCTGGTATGTGTTCTTTATTATTTTTTTGATTTATTATATTGCTTATGTTATTGTTCATGTAGGTACTTTTCTTGTGAATTTTGTACCTACACCTATGCTGTTTAACTAGGGTGCGAGTTGGTCTTTTGTGTCATCATATTTTTGTCGTGGTTTTAGTATTGCGCGGGAGGCCTTCAGCAGGCCATTGAGGGTCTCTATACCTGATGAGCGTCTGGTCTCCGCTACTGACATCTTCCAGGGTTGTGTTAGAGATTTTGGTGTTGGATATCCTATAAATCTTATCCCTATTGCGACAGGAGATGTCTGTGTGGTCGTGGGTATGGATTGGTTGAGCCGGTTTGGGGCTCTGATTGGCTATGAGCGGCAGATGGTGACAGTTTAAGATCCTAGTGGGGGAAAACTGACCACCTACGGCGAGGGTACTAGGTCGGGATCAGTTTTCTGTTCCGCCGCCAGGGTGAGGCAGAGTTTGCAGTATGGGTGTGTGGGTTATCTGGCATATGTAGTGGATACTCGGGAGGAAGAGAAGGGATCAATTTCCATTTTTGATGTTCCTATTGTACGCGATTTCCCCGATGTCTTTCCCGAGGAGTTACCAGATGTGCCTCCTATGAGGCAAGTAGAGTTTCGGATCGATCTGATCCCGGGTGCGACACCGATTGCCAAGGCACCGTATCATCTTGCACCTCCTGAGATGCAGGAGTTATCCTCTCAGCTTCAAGAGCAGTTAGGGAAAGGTTTTATTCGGCCGAGCAGTTCTCCTTGGGGAACACCGATCCTTTTTGTCAAGAAGAAGGATGGTTCACACCAGATGTGCATTGATTACCGGGAGTTAAACAAGTTGACGATGAAGAACTGTTATCCATTGTCGCGGATCGATGATCTTTTCGATTAGTTGCAGGAGGCATCTTGGTTTTCCAAAATCGATTTGAGGTCTGGCTACCATCAGATGAGGGTACGAGAGGAGGATATTCTATTGAGGTTTGGCTACCATCGATTTGTTGTGTCATCACGACGAGCCCTTCCCTTTGGAACTAGAAGTACCTGAAACCATAAACACAAACTGTAAGCATAACGCTTAGTGAGTTCCCCAAGTACCAAATACCACACATGAAGAAGATAAATGTTATGGGCCAAAGCATAGTCTTTTCGTTCAGTGCCGAGGGCCAAATCTCGGTGTTGCATACAAATGCCAGGGGCCAGATCCTGGTCTTTCATATAACTGCCAGGGGCCAGATCCTGGTCTTTCATACAAATGTCAGGGGCCAGATCCTGATCTTCCATATAATCATCACAAGGCATCCAAAATTCTACACAACAAACAATGGGCCGACATTGGCGCCTTTGACCCATGGATCTAGTAAGGAAACTCACCTCATAGACAGACGAAAAGCCGAACTGACACGCTGCTCCGAAATCCTCACTACTGATCACCTTTACGAACAACAGTAACAAAAACTCAAACTACCAATCAAATTCGTAAAATACCCGTAGTTCAAACCCTAGTCAAAATCCAGATCAAAGTCAACCGAGTCAACCGGGTTGACTCAGTCAGTACGCGGGGCGTATCTTGCAGTTGACCAAGGATCGGGCGGCTGACCTCGTACGCTTAGCATACCCTTCGGTACGCCCTGCGTACGAGGTTGCTTGCCAACCTCTTGAATAAGTGCTTAGTTCCTTAAGCACCTACGTCCAAACTTCATATCTAGGTCACAAAGGATGCTCTAAACCATAAAGTTTCCAACTTTGTGGTCTAGCATGGCTATGAAGTCCTTAACACCAAAAAACCTAGTCTCTTAACCCATTAAGACCATCTAGCACTTGCATGGAGGGAAATTAGTGACCAAGAACCCAACTTTATGACTTGACACCCCTTAAAACCTCTGAAAGGACAACTCAAATGCCTTGGAGTACCTTCTACTCACAAGGACCAAGTTTGGGACAAAAAGGAAACAACTTGAGCCACAAACTAGATCCATGAGATTCCTACATCAAGTTTGAAACTTTTTACTTCCACAAGGTGCACAAGGGGGACAAAATGCTGGATCCAAAGGCTTGAGTGAAACACCACCACTTCAATGTTCTTCCGTCTACTCCAAAAGCTCCAAATGATACCAAATATGGCTCAACAAGCTTCACAATGCACAAACACTCTTTAGGGTTTCGAAATGAGGAGGGAGGTTGAATGTAAGAAGGTGCATGAGGCCATAAATGTGTTTTAATATGGTCCAAACCCTAAAATTTAGGGTTTGCACCCTGGTTGCGTACGGCCTGCGTACCTACGCATGCACAACATTCTAAGACGCTTCGGAGTACGCCCTGCATACTCCAGAGGACTTTAGATTTACGAATTTGCCATTGGGGACTAAACTTGCAACTTAAACATAACTCAAGGGTTAAAACGAATACCTGAATTCTAGGTGTTACAACATGGTTTCTTGTAATGACTTAAATACCATTTTTAATATTTTTATCATTTCATTTAACTCTTTTACAATTTATATTAATATCTAGTTAGATGGGTTTATCATCTCATTTTCTCTTTTTAGTCGCACATTCACCATAACCAACAGTTTCAATTGAAAGGTTATATAACAATTTTTTGTCATTTTTATAAAAAAAAAACTAATAATAATCAAAGTCTTAATGATTAAGGCTATGTTTGGCACGCCATAGCTAACTGATAAGCTAGCTTATTTTTCAATCTTTTCTAAATTGTCATGTTTGGCAAGTCAAAATGTAACTTATAAGCTAGCGTTTTAAAAAGCTACTTAGACTAGTTTTTTAAGAGTTTTTTATTTATTTATTTATTTTTTTTCATAAATACCCCTTAATTAATTATAGAAAACATATTTTTAAATGTTTTTTTATGTCATTATATAAATTTCAAATAGCTTATCAGTCAACGGAGCCAGGGTCAAAGTATAAAGGTATCTCCGACAAGTAAAGGGGTATCCCGACAAATCTTGTATCTCTAATATCTTTTAGAAGGATTATTGACCTAAAAGAGTAATAAAGTTTCAAATTTGTCCACATTAGGTCCTTAAGGTCTTTTCTGTACATATTACACCAACATGTTTGTTACAACCGTTTAAACATTTAAACGGCTGTAACAACCATATTGATCGGTGTAATATATACCGAAAAACTTAAGGACCATGTGGACAAATTTGAAACCTTGTTACTTCCTGCGACGTATTTGATATTCGTTGAAACACGAACACACCACTGTTATCGATCATTTTTAGCCGACTCGACCCGTCCAAACCTAAACAACCCTCTTCTTCCCCTCTCAACCTTAACAAAAACTAATAATCCTCACAAACCCTCTCTCTCGACTCCGCGATTCTCTCATCGGTCTCGATGGCTCTCCTTGCCAGGCAATCGCACCGCCTCGCTCTGCTGGCCTCTTCCCAAAGAGCCGCCGCATCGATCCACACAACCCTCCCGGCGTTAGCGGAAGGCTTATCCTCCCCGGCGCCCTACTCTCGACCAGGTCCACCTTCGACGGCTTCCCCGGAAGGTTTATCAAAGACGGCGGAGTTCGTGATCTCCAAGGTGGACGATCTAATGAACTGGGCACGTCGTGGATCTATCTGGCCTATGACCTTCGGCCTTGCTTGCTGTGCCGTCGAGATGATGCACACTGGCGCTGCTAGGTACGATTTGGATAGGTTTGGGATCATTTTCAGGCCTAGCCCGAGGCAATCTGATTGTATGATTGTTGCCGGCACTCTCACCAACAAGATGGCTCCTGCTCTTCGAAAGTACGCCCTTCTTACCCTTTCATATGTGTGATGTGTTCATATATCTGTATATCTTTAATTGTGAAGAAATCCCTCAGACTTCAAATCTTGGTTTGGTAATTATTTTGAATGGAAATGATTAGCATATATATAAATCAAGGCTATATGGTATTTTTTGGACTTGTAGGGTTTTATGACTATGAACTGTGTACTGTTCGACTGTTTATGCTTGTGGAGCTGTTTTATCATGATGGCAACCACAAACAAGCACTCATTATCACTTTGTTCTAGAGGCTTAATAGGAACCAATTTTGATGTTAGGTTTTGGTTGTGCTGCTTGAATCCTTGGCTGGTTATTGTAAGTGATGATGTGTATTTGTTTGTGATCAAGAATGCATCAAGGTTCTATTGTAGCCATGATCTTAGTTGGATGTTATTTATTGTGATTTGTGATAGCCATGCGGCCCATGCCAATAGATAGTATTTTTACTGACACCCCTTAACCTGCAACAAAGTTATTATGTCTTTTTCATTCACTTTCTCTATTAATTTTGAAGGGAAGTTCATTAATGGGGTCAAATCCTTCAATCACCTAGTTCATTCGTAGTTTAGGTTTGGGTAATTTAGATCGCCTGAAACCTGAATAAGAAAAAATATTTTTTTAGCATCTTTCTTTTAATGATAGCAGCAGGGGTGTGGACCTTTATTCCTTTCTTTTTTGGTGGGTGAACCTCTGCTTCCATTTGAAGTTAAGGAGATGTTTGTTTTGAAATTGTTTATGCGATATTTTATAATCAAAATCAAAGGAGATATAGTATGGCTGTGCCTCTGCAACTTGAAGTGGTAGTAATCACTTTTGATCAATGTGCTTGGTAGATTTTAAGTAATTTACTCACAGATTGCATATAGTTGAATCAATGAATCTTTTAAAAGACTTGCAAATTATTCTATCAGTATATTTAAAAAACGGTTGTCGTCTATAGTTCCACCAATTAAGCTAACTTATTTTTTCTTTGTACGTTGGTAGCAATAGTTCACTAAAAGGAATACAATTCAGCGACTTAATAATCCTTTGTTTTTTTTTTCTTTTACAAAAGCAAACTAGACATGAAGAGTTAGCATTGAGTTTGCACAAGCTCTATCAAGTGAATCAAGAATCTTATTTTAATTTGAGTTTGGGCCTTTTGGGGAGAGAAAAAGAGGCTTAAGAAATAGACAAGTTTGAAAGAGAACTTTTGGGAGCTCTTATGAATCATATACGTAACGGTGAGAGATGATGTGCTGTTGTTTATTGTCATTTGGAGGGGTTGGTGCCCCATAGTTGAGGAAAAGATCTCTTAGTTTAGCTCAAAATGGGAAATAAGTAAGTAGTAAAAGTTTTCTTTGATAATCATTTTTGTAGAAGATGGTAATACTCATATGGAAACGTAAAATTACTTGTTAATCGGTCTTTGCCCTAATTTTGTGACATTTTCTATGCGGAAAGCCCCAAAAGTAGTTTTTTTTTCCCTTTTACAATATTAAAAACTCCAGTTTAAATGTTGTACAAAACATAGAGATATCATAGATGGCATAATAACTATAAACCTTTTTTGTTTCCTGTTTTCTGCTGAAATTCACAAAAGTTATAAGTAATTGTACAATATGTATACCCCAGGTGTTACTTTCTAGAACTGCTTTTCAAGGATATAGTTCATTATATTTCTTCTCACTCAACACAACTCAAGTCAAACCTTAATTTTAATATTTCGTAGAGGCAGCAATGCATACAAAGTTGTGGAATATATTGCTTGACAACATCATTTAGTACTCTAAAATATGTATTTATCTGAATTAGTTCATTTCATGATTAAGAAAGAAAAAGTTTTCGTGTTGCAAAGGTATTACTTTATGGAGGTTTAGCTGTATGTATAGTGTTGTATCATTTTAAAAATATGTATTGGGCTTGGGGCTATTAGTACAATGGTAAATCGGAACTGAATTTCTATCCCTCTAGCAGAGAATAGGTTAAAGATAGATTAACATGCAGCTCCTATTTAAAGACCTTATTGCCCCACCCCACTAACTCTACATAGAATTGTAACATGTAGATACCCATAGCCTGCCTACACCAGTCTTTGGTGGGATATTTTTCATTCCTTTATAAATCAGTATAGACAGAGGCATCTTAGGGTTAAAAACCCCAAGAACATTAAAAAAAAAAAAAAAAAAAAAACACCCAAAATTTTGTTATTATGTGTATATCGAAAAGAAGTTGATTTTTTATTTCGAAAACAAAAAATGGGGTTTGGGTGTGTTGTTTTTGAAAAATACAGTAATATAATAGTTGGGTGGTAACAGGAATGTAGTTTGTGTTTTGTTGTTATAGAGTATAGAATGTGGATGTTGGTTTGGTTTGATGTTAACAAAAAAAAGGTTATTGTGGTGTGGCAGGGTGTATGACCAGATGCCTGAGCCACGGTGGGTGATATCGATGGGAAGCTGTGCAAATGGAGGGGGATACTATCACTACTCCTACTCTGTTGTGCGTGGCTGCGATAGGATTGTCCCCGTCGACATCTATGTCCCTGGTTGCCCCCCCACAGCCGAGGCTCTCTTGTATGGCCTTCTTCAGCTGCAGAAGAAGATCAACAGGCGTAAGGACTTCCTTCACTGGTGGACCAAGTAATAAGTAAAACACTTCCTACTTCCGCCACCCAATAAGCTTTCTGTATTTCTGCTTTTCCTGTTTATTTCTTATAACACATAAAACCTTCTTCTCTTCACTGCTCTTTGTATGTTTCTATCCATGATTGTTGCTTTTGTTAAACATCCGGATTTCATTGAATAAGACCCACCTGAAACAAAATATGCCTTTTATTATCTACAAACTTTTTAATTTACTATTCAATTCTCCCCATCAACTAACTTATAAGGGATCCTGCGTTTTTTTTTTTTTTTTTCATATACAAAGTCTCAGGGAAATGATGTTCTGTTGTTGCTACTCTACTCCGATTCATTTTTTTAGTACCGAATTGTCTCCCAAGTCTTATGAGTTCTTAGACCCATCTTTCCCAGCATTATTTCATTTTTACCCCATATTTCCCTACTTCCCATTTTTACCATGCATTTCCTCTTCTTTTTGTCACACACACACATGGAATGGTTTGCCATGTAATGCTATATTTATCTTGTTTTTTATTTTAACAATTTCATTTAGATAATAAATTTCATTAATTGAAATAACAAATAAGTAAGTTAAAAACTTCAAGGACAAAAGGAAATTAAAACATGTAACACAAAGTTTTCGTTTCAAAAATCGTCTTCAGATTATCTATGGGTCCTACGTTGAGATTAATATATTCAACTTGGTAAATATGTCTCAACATATCAGTGAAGATTGTGATGTGTTCGACTATTATGTATCTCCATGTTTCTTGACATGTATCATTCATCACCGATCTCTGTTGGTTGTGTTGTAACGCTTTCGTTTTCGTCGTATTCAAACATATTGTTGATCCCTTGTCTTCTATAGTCATATCATGTAATATGGTACATGCATTCATTACCTATTAAGTTTTTCTAGATAAAAATAAAAAGTGTAAAATGATCATTCGTTCATTCGGGCATGAAAATGATTTAGCAAATACAACATACTTAAAGATAGATTCCATAAACTAGATAATACAAATACTTGTTAAGAACGTTAATATCAAAAGCAAATCGCTAAACGGAGAACCAAATAATGCATGTTAGATCCAATGTGAGGTGAGGCTACTGCTTCAAGTATAATCGTCACATATCGATGATCACTCGCATGTATTGACCATGGTATGCTGTAGGGCAAATTCCCCATGCCCAATGGGAGGCATTTCAAGTTTCCTAGCATAATCACATATTTTCAAAAATTATGTAGACTTTTCTGTGCGTTCCGTGTAGACATCCTGAAATTCTCATCCAATGCATAGACTTGAATACCGTATGTTAATTGAAAAAGTGTGGTTGTGCATGTTTTTCGTGGACTAAACTCTATTGTACTTCTTGAATTTGAACGTCGGTGGAAATATCGACACTCTCGTTAAATCTTTGACTATACGTTAATTAATATAAAGTTTTGTGTATTTAAAACTACCGTAAAAAATTATACCGTTGAAAGGTCGCATATTCGCTAACGTAGTCATGCATGAGACATTGTTGGTCAGCTTCACAGTCTTTTTGTATGTATTTTCATTTTCTCTAACACGAACTTTTGGCTTACTCGTTGTTTAAAGTATCAAACATCATTCTCTTTAACCCTTTAGCAATGCATGTCACTGTTTGCACACAAATTCAAATGTTCCGAAGAGGAAGATGACAAAGACATTTTAAGTATAATAGATAGAAAATGTAAGCACAGTTTGATATTTATATTGGATAAAAATAAAAAAGAAAAAGAAAAAGAAAAAGAAGAAAAGTAGTTGTTGATATGGGTAGAGGAGAGAGATTCAACATCCAACTACCGAGCTCGGCACAATTCGGCCTTTGCCGAGTACATGCCGTAGTGTTTTCCGAGCTGAGCTTTCTTGCTAAGGCCTTTGTCGAGCATTAGTGCCATTAGCCTTAGGCTATCGTGACAAATGTTTCAAGGGAATGCGGAATGACCATGAATATAGAATACATAACTTTTGGGTTATCATAGAAAAATACAATGATCTTTTAGAAATGACAAGGGAAAGTTGATTAAGGATAGAACTAAGGTTATCGTTGGAGTTGAAAAATATTTATTTCTTGAAAATATGTTGCTTGTAAAATGGGATTGAATGAATATATTTGTAAATAACATGCCATGCAAGTTAGGAAGGACAAAATACAATTAAGGAAACGAGCTTAGCTCAAATCAAGGAAATTAAAGAAATTAAACTTACTCTCTCCAAGTCTCCATCAAACTAGATCCTTCATTACTGCTAGTCACCAATTTATGCTTGAATTCATCTTAGGATCACTCAACATGTACATACACCATAAAATGAAAATGAAAATAAAGTTGTTCCCTGAACATTTGACCCTTTAATATAAATTCGCCTTTTCTCAATTCAATCAAAAAATGTACTCCAAGCCTTTACTATCTATCCTTCCAAATCTTCAAACAACTTAACATAAGTTATTTATTAAAAATGTTAAACCTGATGAAAAGTAGCTCCAAAATAGTTTCAACTGTCATTAAATATATGGATTTAAGATTCGAAATGAAGAGTTGTAGGGTGCCGACAAAGTCGCATATGGGTATCTACTATAATAAAATGAAGATCAATTTTGCCACATGTCAATCTCTCATAAGTTTTGACACTTGTCATTTTGTGATTTTATTTAAAATAAAATAATATCCACGTGTCAATTTTTAGATTTTCTTCAAATTTTAAAATTAAAATCATATAATACTTATACTTATATATGTAAAGTATTAAATGTAATAAATATGATAATAAATTGCAATTAATATGTTTTTCATTCCTTATTTCAAAATTTTATTTTAAAAAATATTTATTATTTATATTTTGATATTTAATCTTTTTTAATCAATCCGTGTATCACACTGGTTTTACACCTAGTATATAATATAAACACACAAATATATATTGGGAAATTGAGTAATCTAACCATTTTTTAATGGTATTTCAATAATAATAACCATTTTTTTTTAAAACTAACTCATTCCGGAACCGAAAAACCGGTCCAAGCCCAATACTATACCCCAACGGTATATATATGGATCCCACACACAAAAATCCGGAATACGTGTTCCGAAATTTGCAAATCTGAAGCACGATCTACCCGCATTTCGGACCTAATTTTAAGTATGGATTCGTCAAACCAAGTAAGTTCTAGTCTTTAAGTTATTTTACATTTGATTTTATAAATGGATTTACGTATTCCGAAATACCAGGAACGACTCCGGGATACTATGATTGAATCCGGATGATCAATCTCATGTAAGTACCTTGTAGTGTGTTTCAGATCGGTTCTTTTAGTCCGGAAGTAGGTTTTGTAGGGATTTCGGAATGACACTGTAAGTCCGGAACACGAAGAACGTGGTCAGGAACCCGATGAACTATTTCAGAATGATGTTATGAGATATAATCCGGAATAACTATACTTATCAATTTTTTTTCTAAATATTGTTTAATAACCCATGTTAGCCCACATACGAGTTTGCGTTGATGTTGTTAAAAAAAGTGGGCTTAACGGACGACGAAGTTGTATTCCATTTACAGGAGCTTTCAGAATTGCGCCCGATAAAGGTAAAATTAAAAAACAAAAATTTATAATTTTAATTTATTTTTACGGTTATGTATTAAAATGTTCTTCGAATTTTGTTTTTGCAGATAAAAAACCAAGATGTTGAGTTACAAAATAAAATAAAAATAAACCAGCAAAGGCACCTATAAAATTAAGAAATAAACCAGAAATGGTGTTAAAACTTAAATTGAAAGCAGATAGAACTCTGAAATATGAGACTGAAGCAAGTGCAAACAAACTTGTTAGATAGACTAGTTGCAATTATGTTTTTTTTAATGGATATTTTTCAGCAAGTTGGTTTTATTATTATTAGATATTTTTATGTACGTTGGTTTTTAATGAGTATATTAATATATTTTATTTTCAGTCTCCAACATCTAGTGACTCGAACGATAATGACGAGTTTCCAGTAGAATATGTTATATCACGTCTTGAAGATGAGCAACAACGTGTTGTTGATACGACTACATTAGAAATGATTCCTTATTATCAACGTGCGAAACAACGATGACAATACTGGAAATCCCATTACCGCCTTCAGCGGTTGAGGAGAGGAGAAAAGTAGCATTGTGTAACATGTGAATGCTCCTCATTACCATGTCTGAAGATATATGACAATTTGTGAACACAACGGACATCATCGAAGAAACACATAGGACAACTCCAACAATAGAAGATCGAGTTGAATTGACTGATAATGGGTTCAATCTAATTGAAACCTACATGAAATTGTTTAAAAATCATGTAGACACGGCTAGTTTGCATCGGACGCAAGTTCCTAATTATCGGCCAAAAATGTAATCTAATTTTAAATATGGATATTGTAATGTCTTTTGAAACTGAATTTTGTAAAAGGAACGGTAGGATTATCTAAAATGACAATTTTTTTCATTGACATTATTGCCAAAAGAGTTATAAATCCTAATACATACTTAGATTAGTTTCCACAAATTAGGAAATTGTAAGGGATACATATTTAGTTCGAGGTCAATAAAATTTCCTCTAATTCTAACAACATCTGTTAGACGGTCCCGTTTTGTACGAAGCTTATCAATCTCCGCATTTTCATCTTCAATCCACATCTTAACTTGTTTCACTTCTTTCATAGCTTCAACAACCCATTTTTCTTTTTCATTTACTTGTTCCTCTAGATCGTCTGCACGTTGATTTAGCGTGCAACTTCTTTTAGAGTCCCTTTTGTTTGCTTCTTCAACAACCTTCATAGCTTAGAAAATGTTATGAGACATTTTATCCGGGAGTGGAAAATCTGGGCCTTCCGGAAACGGATAATTATCTGAACAAACATAAAAATCTTCTTCTTCACAATGTTAAACACCATCGTGAGATGAAATCATTCCAAAAAAAATTCTACGTTGAGGATGCATGCTAGCTGATTTTAAGGTCTAAAAGCAATGTCCGGAACGAGGGTCTGAAATAGCAATTCCAGAATGTGGCTCCGGAATGTGGTTCTGGAATGAGGGTCCGAAATAGTATCAGGAATCCATGACATTTACTGTTCAGAATGACTACACATAGTTTTAGGAATCTATGACGTTATTGTTCGGAATGACTACATAGTGTTAGGAATCTATG